CCCATCCCCCCAACCCCCCAATCTCCCAATAGGGCTTCCTCTTCCTCAGAGCAGACAAAAGGCTCTAAGGGTCACAGGTCTAGGCTAGCTCTAAAGGACAAAGGGAAAATAAAATTTCAGAAAAGTACAGCCTGCACTTCATCCCATCGGGAAGAGGCAGCCTCAGGAGTAGTGTGGGAGGCAAAAAAATGACCAAGACTCACTTGGGGAATGAGATAAGTTTTAGGTCTTTTGCAGCTAAAAAGAACAGAAATCCATCCTCGTGGCTGGACAGGCTGGGAAACCCAGATTTCAGGGGATGGCAGTCTGGACCTTATGAAGTACCCCTTTCAAGACAAAGGAATACTGGAGGAAGACTGTATGAAAGATGACACTGACACTCAAGTGACATCCAAAAGTGATAGTGATCATTTCTAGAATAATAATCACCAAACTATCCAATTGACAAAGACATGTTTTGGCTTTGACAAAGGTAAACAATAACATCAAATAATCATGGTGTCTAAACACTACATTGTGAATATTTTTTCCACTGCACAGTAAGAACACCTTTGAATTTCATAGGAAAATAATCTCAAATTGTCTCTCAAGTATTTTTAAATGGAAAGATATTTTATATATTAATTCTGTAAGTTCTATAAAATTATTTTAAATTACCATCTCATAGGTTTCTGTTGTTTTTAAGAAAATGTTGCTACAGATAGGGAAGTCTAGTAGGCAAACAAGAAGTGAAACTGCATCATGTTTATGTTATCTTTTATAAAGTCTGGAAATATGATAGAGAAGTAGAATACACAGATGAGGAAGGTAAAGTGGTGAATATGAAATCTCGCGAACATCCTATTCAATATATTAGATGGAGATTTACCTAGGGAAGACCAAATAGAGTGTTTTTATTTTATTTTAATATACTATAGCTATCAATTGCCGAAAATACAATAACTATGTTAAACACAGCTTATAAGAAAAATATGTGAGAGGATGAGGTTTTATAGGTCTGAAAAATTCAAGTTTCAAATCTGAGAAATCATGAGGCACTGAAATATTAAATACTAGAGGCCCAGTTCACGGAATTTATGCACAGGTAGGGTCCCTAGGCCTGGCTGGCAATCAGGGCCGATCTGGGCCTTCCTTCATTCTACATCGCCCCCTAGTGGTCAGCACACGTCATTGCGAGCGGCCAAACTCTCAGTAGGTCAAACTCCCGAGGGGACAATTTGCATATTTGTGTTTTATTATATAGGATGATTCACAATGGAAGCTTAAAATTAAACAGTTATAAAAAGTAGAGGAAGAAAAATCAAAAGCTATGATCCTAATTCTATTCATTGTGACAGTGCCTCGTTAGGATAATTCTTACCAAAAAAAAAGGTTTTTACTGCTTTTAGCAGTGCTTCTAGGGATATAAGTTGGACACTAAATCTACTGGATGCTCTTGCATCGAAGTTCCCTCTACTTCCTGCACTTACATCAACTCTTGAGCTTGATTTTGTCTTGCGCTTCCTTCCCTTTGTTTTCTTCTCTTCATCAGTTGTGGTTTTTCCCTGATCTGACAGCTCAGCTGATTTCCTCTCTGGTTCCTGAGAAATGGGAGACGTGGGCTCTTCCTCTTCCTCCTCGGGAGGCAGGGGCAGCGGCTCGAGGTAGTAACTTCGGGGCTTGGGCATAGGGTGTGTGTGGTACAAAAGGAGGTGGTGCTGCTCCTCATACTTGATCACTTTCCGGTCTATTCGGACTGTCCCGAACCAGGCCCAGGACAGAGGAGCTGGGTTCTTCTGACCCTCAAACAAATCCCAGGGGGACACCTTCTGCTTCGTAGAGACCTGGAGACCCTGTGGCAAAATAACACTCTATGACCACACCCTCAGACCTTTTTCTGATTAGGGTCAGGCTTGCTTAGGACATGGATTCAGAGAACATTTTGGCGGGTGTGGGCCTTCGCAAGAACTTAGCATAGAGCAGACAGGCTAACTAATCAGTCCAGGGTCACACAGATCACTGGTGGGGCTGGCTAGAATCCACAGTTCTATGATTCTCTCTACCACTGAGCTCCATAGATACAGTTTATTGTACAATGGCATTTTTTTCATGTAGTTTTCTTTTGTTAGCAAAACAATAATTTCTAAGAAATGCTATAAAGTTGATCTTATACTAACTTATAGTCAGTTATAAATCTTTAAAATCCATTTATTGTTTTTAGGATAAGAAACATTCAACCTCTAATTGGGCTCAAATGAACTTTAATCCAAACATGAGTGGACTTGATTCAGTGTGGGCACCTTTCATGTACTTAATAAGCCATAGTTAAGTCATTTTATTACAGAATTAACTTGACCAACATGTAGAAATAAACTCCTTCAATTCAAGCTTATCTCTACGGAATTCAGAGGAGAAAATGTTATTTTGTTTCTGAAAATAAGAAGTTTATTTTTAACATTAATTGGTAATGTCCCTTGGTACTTTCCCTGGCATAGCAATTTGAAAATACTTTTCTTCAGTATGAACCCCAAAATAATTACTCGGGCATTCCATAACTATGCCCTCTTACCTACACACTCTTCCATGGGCAGCTTTATCCAGAACCAAGGCTCAGTATCATCTGCATACTGACTGCTTCCTAATATGTCTTGAGATTAGACTTCTCTCCTGGGTGCCAAGACCACATCTCCAAATGGCTTATACATGTCTCACCACTAGAGAGCCCACCAGCACTACAAACTCAACTTGCCCATGATTCTAGCTCTTTCTCTCCAGAATGTACCAATGCAGTAAACACCTAAAGTACTCTGAGTTACCGCTGCATTGCAGTTCAATGAGCCACCTTTTTTGTGTCTTTGCATAAATTCTTCCCTTTGCCTGTACTACATTTTCCCCTACCTCCCAGCTAACTCTTAATCCTTCAAAATGATTCATGTCCATTTTCCTGGGGATGCTGCTCCAACTATTTACTTGCCATCGGAGTGTGATGGCTCCATTCTCAGGGTCCCTAACACTGTGCAGCATGACACACAAACCTCACCATACTCTGTCTATCTACTACTAAGAGGGCAGGCGCTCTGTCTTCCATCTCTGTGATTTTGGAAAACTGTGGTTGTTCACGTTCACTGAAAGAATCATGGACCACTCTTCTTGTATTATAAGAAAACCCTGCTTAATACCTTATATAAAATCAAGTGTTCATTAAATATTGTTTAATTGATATGAAAATAAAGTACCATCACTTTAAACATTTTTACTCAAAATAGTTTTATGACATAAAGACTTTTAGCAACAAAAATTCTTATCTAAACGTATTGTTTCCAATTCTGAAGTAAAATTACATCTGATCTTTTGTTTGTTTTTTACACTAAGCTTTTTAGTTTTCTATTGTTGAATTTAAGAAATTCACTTAAATTCAAGCACAATTTTAAGTAAAGATCTTGAAAGATTTAACTTTTATTATAATGCCAATAACCATTAAATGATAAAAATATGCATTTAAAAAACAGGAAACTGTAAAATTAAAATGCTTTATATGCTTTACAGGACGACAAAAGGTTGTATTTTGTTTTTGTAAGATTAACACACAGTTATATACACGAGAAACAAACACTTTACTCTTGCCTGTTTTTTATCTATAGAGTCGAACCCAGCAATTTTGTTTCCCTTTGTGTCGATCAAGGAACCCATAGGCTCACAAGTGATGACATCACATGTCTGTTTTGGCAAAGGCAGCAGCTGTTGAACTTTATCAATACTTTCTGACCGCTTGTCTCCTAGCTCTTTCT